AGTGCCATCATTTTCTGCTTTCGTTCTTCTGCCTTCCCTCATACTACCTACCTTCCTGGGAGCCAGCACTGCACTCTGCACAATGGAAGCAGAGGCAGCCCCGTACCTAACCCTGTCCAACCCAACAGCAGCTGGCCTCCCTTCCAGTCGTCTCTAAACATCGAGTTCCTTCTACCTTAGGGTTGTGCTCCTTCCTGGCAGAGCATTCTCCCATGGCTGGCTTCTTCCTGGCATCTGCATTTCAACACCTTCTCGGAGGCCCTCTCATAGTCCACCCTTCTCAGGCTTTACCTCTGGGCCACACATCGCTACAGAACTTGCCTACCCATCCTCTCGCTTACTGATTCCCCACCTCTCTCCCATGAAGGCCCTAATAGCAGGGCCCATTTTGCTCATGGCTATGAACTCAGAGCCTGGCACAGCACAAGTTATAGCAGGGGCTCAGTAAGCATGAAGTAAGGAAGGTATGGAGGTCTGGATTTTGTTCTCAGTGTGCTGTGTGACCTTGGACAGGTCACTTCTCATCTCTGGGATTCAATTTTTCAAATACATATGACATGGACTAAATACCTCTCAAGGACTCTTCTGCTAGGTCAATGGTTATGCATCTTCTGCCTTCAAGGCTGGATGGGCTGGCCCAGGCCCTCAGGAGCATACACAGGACCTGCCCAAGTGGCCAAAGAGAGTCACCTGACTCGTGACTTCCTAGTGCTGCCTTGGATAATGTACTACATACTGATCCCTTAGCCTAGCCCAGACCTTATGGCATGTCCTGGGAGCACAGAGGAAAAGCTTTCTGGTACTCTAACGGGACCAAAGAAGTTGTGAAGACGGCCAGCTTGGAGCTGGCTAGGCAGATGGCTCTACACGGGGGCACCCTCTCTGCAAGCAAACAGCACCCTTGAAGCAGGACTCCCCACAGCACGGCTCATGTCCCCTGAGCACTTCCTCTGAATCAGAGTGGTCCTCAGGCGTATATAACAGAGCATGCCTGGTGAAGGAGTCCTGGGAGGAACCCATGAGGAAACTGAGGCACAGAGGAGGAAAGGGGATCACCTGAGGTCACACAGTGAGTGGAGTAAAGACAGGTTCCTAGGGAGTCAGGACAAAGGGAAGAAGTCACCCTCTGGGCGAAGTCCAGCCTGGGTCTCTAGAAAGGTGAACCACCCGCGCTCACAGAAGGGTGCTTGGCCCCTGCCTCAGCGCACAGTGCTGCCCTGCTTGGCACAACTCGTGCCTCTGGGACCTCTTCCCTCAGGCAGAAAGGCAAAGGTCCTGGATAGCTACCAGGGGGTTGGGACAGCAAGGCCAGTAACAAGGGAGGCCACCTGACTCTAGTGGCCTTGAGAACCTTGGCTGTGAGGGGCCAGCCAGGTGGCAGCATTCTGAGAGCCAGTGCACTATGGAAGATGCCAAGAGACAGGGGATCCAGAGGAAGGAGAAACAGGCCTGGATAGTTCTTTCTCTTCCTGTGGGTCAGCCAGGGAGGGGCTGAGGTGTACAGAAGACACCCCTGGACAGCAATTCCTGCAGATCATGTAGATAGCATGGTCTGTCAAACAGGCTGCCACCAGCTTCCACCTTAGGTATGAGCCATAGACTGCCACCACAGGGGCATCTTATCCAGAAAGGCAGGGAAGCCAGGTGGGTGCTAGAGGTGAGTGGTGTGCAGCCCCGCCCCTGTTCCCAGACCCCTGCTGGGTCAGCAGGAGTGTCCCACTCCCATTAGCCCTCTGAAGCCTGCCTCCCCACCCTGCCACGCCTTGCAGCTCCCAGAACTTGGAACTTTTGATGTTTACTTTGTTCTTCCCTGAGTTCAAAAGGCGCTCACAGCCCCAACCCTGCACCAAGCCTGCCTTAATCTCCCCTTGCTGGCTGGAGCTCCCAGCTGGCCAGTTAAGGCAGCTGGGGGTGAGGGGATGGATGGCTATGGATTAGGGCCGGCTTTACATAACAACGCAGGAGCTAGAGCCACCCTCTCCTGGGGTGGCTAAAAGACTTCTTTTTATCTCCGTGCCTCAGATGGCCTTTTTACTCCCTTTAAACAGCTCTCCAGCCCGCCAAGCGGCAATGAACTTGGCTAACAGGAAGACAAAGAGGACATTCAGGACTTGGCTTTTTCGGCCTCAGCCCACAGCACAGAGGGACACCCGCAGCCACAGGTCCTGGGCTGATGGCTCTGTGTGGCCAGGACAGGGCAGCATCTGCTCTCCCCAGCCCCAGCTGTGAAGTGCCCTAACTTTCACACTCTGTCCAGTCCCAGCATGGATGGCCTTGGGCCACCGCATTAAGAAGAGGCCAGAGAACCATGGGCCAGCCCTGGGTCTAGGGTCCATCACGACAGACTCAGGGACCAGGGGTTGCACAGGTCCAGGTCCCCACCTGGCTTGACAAAGGAGCCTCACTGTTACTGCTTTGTTTCCCCATTTAACTCCTGTCATTAGTTTTTCCTTTCATGGCTGAAGGCCTACATTTTTATAAAAGTTAAAACATTCATTACAGTAATACTAGCCTGCTTTAACAACCCTTTCAGATTTTAGTTCCCTCCTATGACCACAAGTCACTACCGTTATTGCCTTCTTGGCCTCCATATATTAATACACATACATGGTACCCCACGAAAATCCAGGATTGTCTGGTGCCTTTGGTTTTATATAATGACTTCATGCTGCCCAAATCTCCCTAAAATCTATTTCAACTCTTCTTACATTTTGCCCTTTCATGCGAGTTTTTGTCTGAAGAGAGGGCTAAAGAGCTTGACTGCCAATAGCCTGCCCAAACACTATTCAGGAAACTGAGGCAGGTTGGTGGCCTACAACTACTCCTTTGTTGGTAGTGGTACCACCATGCCTGGACACCAATAGTGGCCAATAAGGCACTTAGGCCACCACCAAAGCCCAACATGCAGCTGACAGACCTCTGGGTTAGGCCAAGTGCCACCAATCTCAAACCCTTTGCTGACAGGAGCTGGGCCCTTCAAGCAACTTGGATCTAGCCCCACCAGCTGGCCCATGTTAGTAAGTGATGCCCCAAAGCAGTCAGCCCTTCCTAGATGTCTACAACCCCGACTTTGGCTGCCTGTCACCACGCATCATGTAACAGGGAGACAAGGGACCTGACCAAGATGTCACAGAAGGTTGCTGTCTGAACTGAGAAGGAGCCAGGACAACAGCTTTGTTTGCTGGCAAAGACATCTTGCTTGAAATTAATTGCATGATTTCAGACTAAGCCTTTATAGACAGAAAAGTCCTTAGGTGTTGGCTGTATCCAGGGACCCAGAAAATACTGGACAGACAGAAAAACAAATAGAGAGAACTTAGCACAGTGGAGGTGAATGCCTGGCACACGTGGCACAGTGGGCACAGACAGCCCTCTCCCATCAGCACGTGAGCCATGTCACCCCAGCAGCTGGGCATCCTATAATAGTTATTTCTGAACTAAAACCAGGTTTTAGATTGCAGTTTGGGCACTCAGTCCCTAAAAGGCTCATCCCCACTAACCTAGAATGGTAAGTGGATGCTGATGCAATGGATGGAGGATGGGGATGGGTACATAGATGCTGAACAGATGAGTTAAGGACAGCGGTGGGGGATGGACTGGTCTAGCTGGCTGAGAGATATGTGACAAAAGAGGGGACAAAAGAATGGACTGTGAATGGAAGGATGAAGGGCAATGGGTAGCATAAGAAAAGGATGGGTGGGCGGATGCAAGTATTGGCTGAATGGCCCTGGATTGGGGGTGGGTGGAAGGCTAGAGAGTGGGCATCATATACAAGTAGAAGACAAGAGAACAAACTTGGCTTGTTACCACATGAGTGAGCAAATAAGTAGATAGATGGAATGAGTACTGAAGGTCCTGTGATCAGAGTCGGGGACGTCCTCATGGCCTAAATCCTACAACTTGCTAATTCCCAGCATGTCTCTATAGGAAGAGAAGGATGACAGCTAAGAACTGGGAGCCCAGAGATGATGAGGCTCAAAGCCTTTGAATTCCTGACTACAGGGGGCCAGGGACACAGGCAGACATGCTCAGCAGTGCTCAAGTCCCCACCCCCTCCAGCTGCTGGGCAGCTGAGTGGATCTCTTCCAACAGGGCATCTTCAGGTGTGACTTACATACAAGTCACTTCAGAGCTCACTATAATGCACTTAAGGTCTAGCAACCTGGGGCGGGTGAGATGGCTCAGTAGAATAAGCGCTTCCTTGGCAAGCGCAAGGGTCTGAGTTTAATCCCTGGTTCCGCCAAAAATAAAAAATAAAAATAAAAAAAGAAAGGATCTAGCAACCCTGTGGTGCAGTGTGCATGTTAACCCTCAGGGTAGCCCAGGTACCTTTGGTCAGCATCCTGGCCTCGCTACTCAAGGCTCTCAGGATCCCCAGGCCAGATGCCCTAGGGACGCTTGCACCCTGGCCCCTGCGCCCCCAGCTCTGTGGCCAGCTGTCTCCCCTTACCCTTGCAGGTAGCCCATAACAACGCTTTTCTCCTGCAATTTTAAGTAAAGAACAGGGTGCCACTGCCCTCTTCAAACACACCTGAGCCGAGCTCATAGCCACACAGGCCTCGCTCCCATTCTAGTAGGTGGTGACTGTGACCTGGAAGGAAAGGAGGCATGCCCAAAGACACATAAGCACCCCAGGGGCCAGGGCTCCGCACCACTGGTGGGAGCTGCTCGTGGGGAAGAGAATGAGGCTGGTGGGAGCAGGGGTGTGCACCTGGACATGTGCATGCATGCGTGCACTGGGAGTCAGGCATGACGAGGCTGCAGAACTGGAGAAACAGCCATGTTACTGTTATAACCCTGGGGAGCTACCCTGACTCTGAAGCCCACCTCGGACAGGCTCGGGCCAGGCTGTGACCCTGGCCAAAGCTGCACTCCTTCCTCCTCGACTGGCCATTCCACTGTGAGGGCTGCAAACCTTCTGGGCACCGTGGGGTACACAGACAGCCAGATGCCCTTCCCCACCCCACTGAAGGGGAAACAGAGCCAAGGATTTCAAGTACCTTCTAGCCGGAAGTCCTCTTCCTCCTCCTCACTTGGCCCTTCTCTGAAAACCTCGCCCACGAGCTCCTGGGAAGACAAAGCAGGGTTGTTACAGAAGAGTGAGGACAGCTGGGAGCTCACCTGGATGTGAGGGGTGGTGGTGGGGAACCCACTGTTCTGAGTCTTCTAGGTCAGGTCAGGGGGAGGGCCCTGCCCACAGGCCCTGTGCATGGATGATTTCCAGGAAGCAGAGCTTTAAGCCTGTAGCCCGCCCTGAAATTCCACCCAGAGCTATACTTCTCCCTCTGAAAGGGCCAACCCCCCCACCCCCAATACCAGAACCGCCAGACAAGATCTACCTCACTAAGCCAACCTAACTATATAGGACCGGCAAGCCTCTCCTACAGGGCCCAAGAAGAACCTTAGTCTGGATCACCTTTCCTCCACCAGGGTCCCAGCAGGTTGCCCTGCAGGACTGTAAGAAGCCCATGGGGTCTGGTTTGCTATACTGTGGTCCCACTGCCTTCCGCCAGAGCCTCAAGCCTGCACAGCATCCTAGACCCTGCAGGCTCTGGCTGCTGCTGGTCCACGCTCCTGCTCTGTGTCCTGCTGGCCTACACATCTTTCTGCTGCTGGCATTGCCAGAATCCTCACCAGCCTTGCCTGCTCCACTGTGAGCTGAAGATGTCCCATACTGCACCAGCACAACAGGTCTCCTCTTGGCCAGCCTGAATGATGCTACTTGGGTGTCAGGCTGGCCAGGGCATCTCCATGTGCCACAGGCTGAGAAATGTGGAGGATGGTGACAAACTAAGGCTGCATCCATCCGATCCACTCCAACACCTACGGAAAGGGCTGCCCCAGGATCTGCCAGACTAGCTGTTTTATTCATTGCTGGTATTCTGCCAAGAAGATTTCTGTGATCAAAGAAGACTGCTTTAGACAAAAGCTAAAGTGCCTCACTGCAGGACTCATCAGGGCCTTGCGACAGTTACAAACACTGAATCTCCACGTGCTGGTGTTTATGGCTTTCTCCAAACCCACGTAGAGCATGGGGTTTTTTTTTGTTTTTGTTTTTTTTTTTCCCAAAGCATCAATGAGATTCATGTTCCAAGGAGTTCACTTTAGGAAATGCTCCCCTTCTGGGCACAGATGAAGCTTGGGGGGCTATACTACCTCGCCTTTCCAAGCACCCCAGTGATGCTACAATGCTGCTTCTAGAGCACCGAAGGTGACAGGCAATAGCCTAGATACAGCAGCTGTCACCATCTTCTCTTTGCGAAAAGAAAAAAGAAAAAGAAGAAAACAGCCTCTCCTTGGAGGAAAAAATTCCTGCACCTCAGATGCTTGAAGCAAAACCAGGCTTGTCTTGATGACCACAGAGAGCTGTGCTGGGCACCGCTGTCGGCACTGCTGGCCACAGCTGGGAGATGGCTGCTTGTTTCCTCCTTTTCCGCTCACATTCTGTGGATGAGGGCCAGTCTGTGTGGTTCTTTCTTCTTCCAGCCCTTCTAGAGCATCACACGAGCTTCCTTAGAGGTGGGTAAAATGTGGCCATCCAGCTCCTGGTGTCCCATTTATTTCAAACCAGGCTTCTCTCTCCTCCGCCGATTTTTCTAATCACTGAACATTTCCTGGGCTTGTAAACTGGCTGTTTGTGTTAACAGAGTCGGAGTTGACAAGGGAGCTGGGAGACTCTGACAGGAAGAGACGCACACAGGTGGCATCCTCAGATGCCGATAGACCCAGCAGCCAATTAAAGCCAGTCTTTCATGACAGAGAAAGGCAGAAGGCAGCTGGATGTCCCCTGGGAGGCTGGCAGGTATGCTTCCTGCAAAGCAGCAGCAGTCTTCAGGGGACACACAAAGCCTCCACAGTGGGGGCCTCTGCACCCCCCTGACTGCATTCGGCAAGGCTACCAGCACCCCCAGCCTCTTGAGTCCTGAAGCTTTTTGCTGGTGAATTTGGAGGGATTACAAAACTCCCAGTGTCACCCCAATAAAACAGCCACAGGGCGAGGCATGGTGGCATATGCCTGTAATCCCAGCACATAGGAGGCAGGGGTAGGAAGACTACCTTGAGTTGGGGGCCAATCTGGGCCACATAGCGAGTTCAGGGCCAGCCTGGACTACGTAAAATGCTGTCTTAAAAGAAAATAAAGAGAGAGAGAGAGAGAGAGAGAGAGAGAGAGAGAGAGAGAGAGTCAAAGGGTCCCTGTGCTGCCACCCCCGTGTCTGTCATGCACCCACCACCATCACGGTGATGATGGCTCTGGCAAGTTCTAGGGTCAGCCTCGTACTGCGCTGTCACACTCTGAGTGCTCTGGTGCCAGGGCCGGCTGGTGTACGTGCTCAACTATGGCAAAGCCATTCCCACTGAGCTGCATGGTCCTGGATCTGCAATCCTCAAGGTTCGGGTCACTTGACCCAAAGGCAAAAATGGGACTGCACCCATGTGGAATCACGCTGTAGCCCAGCAGCCACTACAGGTCAGAGTCCAAGTATGCATCTGTCCATGGGACTCAGAGCTCCCCTCAATCCTCCCACATGGTGTGGGGACCTGGCTCCAGCTGGGAGCCTGCAGACTGGGTCAGGGCCAGGCTCTCAACATCAATCACCCTGCAGGCTAGCAGGTGCTGTAGACCTGGGTGCAGACCCTCAGAACCAAGAACCCATGGTGCCCAGGAGCAGGAGCCCTGGAACTGGCCGGGCAGCCTTCCATTGAAAGCCTACTCTCCCCAAGCTAATCACTTGGGGAGGCACCTCAGCACCCCATTTGCAAACAGAGCCAAGAGCATTCATGTCCTCTCAGGGTCGCTGCCAGGATTATAGGAGCCACTACATGGCACATACGCAACTTTGCACCCAGTCCCATGCAGGCTCAGCAGCTCCGTGGTTCCTTGCTTCTTCTACATTATCATCAAATGGTTACAGAATGTGTTTGGACCAAGTGGACAGACTGCCCTCAAAGACACCTGGAAACTCACTCTCAGCCTATTCAGCAGTTTTTTGTGCTTAGTATTTAATTTTTATAGTAATCATTTTGTCACTGTCATAATTATGCCTATTTTTGAGAAAACTGAGGCACAGAGAAGTTAAGACATCTGTCCAAAGTCACACAGCTAGTGTATGCCAGTACCAGAGTCTGTACCCTTTGCAACTGCACTTACTTATAAAATCCTGAGTATAAGTACTGGCATGTGGTGAGCACCCTTCGTTGCTTCTCTTGTCTACTCAGCTGTCATTGTAGCCCCAAGGTCCCAATCCTCCTCTGGGACTGTCAGCCATGCTTTTGTTGTGCTCCAAGTTCTGATTAAAGACCTTCCTAGATTCCCAGAGTCCCTGCCCAGGGGCCTAGCTTGGTGGCTTCTCAGGTCACATGGTCATAATCTGCCTTCCTCCCGAGTCCTAGCATTGCCCTTCTGCAAGCCTAGGATGCAACTCTGTCCCATGCTGGGTTCCTGGAGGGAAGTTCAGCTCCTCTGGGCACCCGGGTGAGTGGTCAACACCAGCGTGAGCCCAGGATGTAAGACACAATGCCTTATAAGGCCGCAGGACGGAAAACCACATCAAAGCAGGCCTTGGGGCACGGGCCAGCAGCCAGTTAGGGTTTTCCTCTTTGTCTTTGTATCTCCCCACCCCACTGCTCCAGCAGGCCTCTGTCAATCTTTCTGTTCCCTAAGAGCTAACAGATGTTGGTACCATGGGATTTCGAAGCAAACTCCTGGTACCCACGGAATACAACGTAACTTCCAGATTCCAAAAATGGATGGGACTGATATACTGTGGGAAGAGAGGGGCTGCTTGGAACCCAGGCTTCCCAGTAGCCCTCAGACAAGCGCTGCCCTGGGCCTGCCCCAGGACACACCCCAACACTCTTCCAGGCGCACAGTCAGATTCAGCCCATCTGGGGCCTGACTGAGGGCAAGATCTGCCTTGCTTCTGTCCCTGCACTTGGAGGGAGGACACGACTGCTCCACTCCAGGCACCTGGGGGGCCCTGCTGGAGGCCTCACAGCCTTTGGCAGCAAACATATTCTTTAACTTCTCTGGCTCTATTTTCCTTTTCTGTAAAGTAGGGACTGAGATGCCAAAGAAGGGTCAAGATGTGAACCAAACATCCAGGATGGCGTCTGGGACAGCCAGGGAGCAAAAACGTGCCTTCCGTCTTCCTCCTGTAGTGTGCTACTCTGACACCTGCTCAGCGCGTTCTTGCGGCCCACCCTTAGACTCACTGAATGCCCAGCCGCTGACCCTCCCAGTGAGTGCCTGGGACTGCCTCAGAACATGTCATCAGGAGGCACATTCAAGGTCAGCGAAGGTTAGGGCCACACAATTCCTGTTAACCAATAGTCAGGCGGGCCAGGAGGCCACCAAAAGACACTGCATTAGAACTCCAGGGCAGAGCACCGCACAGTGGTTCAGATGTGAGATAGACCCGCCCACCCTGCCACACCACATACCATGCCACAGGATGAGCGAGGCAGCAGGTGCAGAACGTGACGCTGCCTGCACACCCAGGAAGTGCTGCACACACTGTGGACAGCGAGGGAAGGGAGGGAGAGCAGAAAAGCAGGGGAGGAGTGGAAGGGCTCGGAACATCAGGTTTATCAGAACTTCTGTAATGTGGAACGGCTAAGCACAGCTGTCCCTGCGTATCCACAGGGCATGGTTTCTGGAAGCCCCTGCAATGCCCCACTCCAAACACGTTCCAGTTCCTCAGTAGACAGCGGCACACTACTGGCATAGAACCTACACACATTACCTACAGGATTTAAGTCTTGTCTAGATTGTTTATAACACCACCTACAATGTACATGTGCTGTAAACAGCTGCTATATTACATTGTTTATGGAATGATAAAAGTCTGTATGTGTTCATTAGAACAATTTTTTCTTCTTAAATATTTTCCTCTGCAGTTGGTTTATCCAGACAGAAAGAACCTGCAGAGATAGAGCCAACTATTTATTCACCTGTTCCTTGGGCAAATAAATCCCAAATTAACCAACCTCCACTTTTCAAAGGGAGGAACTGAGGATGAGCCAGAAGATGTAGCTCTGGGGCTCAGGTCTACAGTGGCAGAGATTAG